CAGCTTTCTGCGTGAACTAAACCGTTGTGAGTAAAGCAGAGGTGAGTCTGAAGACCATGCTCTTAGTGTTCAGGTGACCTTTATCCCCATGGTACTTTGGTTACGAGTGATGGGCGATGACTGGAAAATATAGAGTACAAGAGACATCGCTGACATTACGCGTCTCGACATGGTTCTAGTGCGGATTGTAAAGAGAATCTTGGTGTACAGCGACTACTTTTTCAGATTGAGAAGTCGCTCTTGCGGTGGTTTGGTTGCGTGCTGCAAATACCTCTAGAAAGAGAACCGAAGCTAGTAAAGCTTGCCCATCCGACCGGTTGAAAACCCAGGGCATCCGCAAGATTAACCTTAGCGGAGTGTATTGACGGACTCTGCTCTAGACTCCAGTTATCATCTGCCGAAGTTCAAACGATGGCAGAGAATCAGGAATTTTGGAAGCGTTGTCTAACGCGTCAGCCTCTGGGACCCGTAAGAAGATGCGATCGTGAAAAATGAATGGAATATATAATGCATTTATGCGTACAGTAATATGAAGAGGAAACGATAGTTAAAGTATTCCATCAGGGTGCAAAAATTGCTGGTAATTAAACTACAGACTAAACCAGGGTAACTGTTCGTCAGTGATACATTTGCATCTGTAGAATTTGCATTTTTAGCCTTTTCCTAAGCTGTTGAATATTTCATCATTAAAAAAATTTTAACCAGGTTGACCTATCGCTGCTATCTTTTCTGTAATGCATGTCGTCGATTTGGATGGCTTTCACTGTTATAAATTCAAAACCCTTTACTGAACAGTGAGCGAAAATGGTGGATATCAAAACAGTTTCTGAGGTAGAATCAGCCTTCTTTTTTGAAACTGTTCCTGTTGGTCCTAAAAACAATGGTGTAGCTGTCAAAACGGTGGCACCGCATTATCCTGATAATCGTCAACATCATTGCTTAAGTGCTTCATATGGTCTTTTACTTACGGCAATTGTCACCGTCATAACACACGGTGTTCCTGATGGAGGATTGATACAAATGAAATCTTAGAAGCGAACACCTTGGCTCATTAAGGATTTCAGAGATAGTCACAGTTCTCCTAATTCTGGTTGGCTAGTTGAATTGCAATGTTACTGGTTGTTTGGCATCGTCCACATAGCTGCCGCTGCGTTTACCCGCATATTACTCTTTATTAATGTCTCGACTGATTTTGCCATGTTGTGATTAACTTCATTTTGCATCTAGTTCCTACCTGCTTTTTTCCTAAAAGAGAAAAGTTTCTAATGATGGGGCCTAAGCTCATGTTGCAGTAGCATAACTGTCAAAACGAACGGCGAAATTGGCATTTACAAGAATAAAACGTGCTGTATAGACTTTATTTACAATCCGGTGCTATACAACGTTTCTAAGTTAAAGCTTTCTCATTATTTATCTGTCTTATTGATTAGTGGCAATAGATCAGTGATGTAAAAGATACCAGTAGTGCATTCTTTATGTATGTTGAAAGAGTTTTGCTTTAAAGTATTAGTTCCTGCATATTAATGAAATTTCGTGAGTGATGGTAATATTATAACTTTGATTATTTTAATGATGGCGTCTTCACTTTCTTTAATATGATTAATTAAGAAACGACCTTAGGTGATGGTCACTAATTAGTTGTTTGCAACATTGCTCAAAAAACCACTTATTATGCATGATTATTATAACCTGATATGTACTCATTATGAATATTAGAACTTCGCATTAAATTAGTCAAAATGTTTTTACCTCTATATCCTCCTTTCGTTGATGTTTCCGGTGGCAGCTTTGTCACTTCTGTGGTTTCTGGAGAAGTTTCAACAGTGGGAATCTTTGGAGTCGAGGTTGCGGCACGAGGCGTCGAGGTTGCGGCACGAGGCGTCGAGGTTGCGGCACGAGGCGTCGAGG